TACTAAAAGAGAGTGTCATTGGGAGTACTAATAGAGAGTGTCTTTGGTAGTACTAATAGAGGATAGTGCAGGGATGGGGTGAGGGATGATGAACTGTTGGGAGCCAGCACCCAGGCTCCTGAAGTCCCAGCACCCTCCGCCTCCTAGCTTTTAACTTATTGGGGAACACTTCATAAGAGAAGCTAGAGAGGCCTGAGGCTCTAAGAATCAACCTGTGGGCCAGGATGCAAGAGGAGGCCTAACCCAAATTCCCACCCCAGAGAGAAGGACCTGTCACATGCAAAAGAGCCCTTTAAAAATGGGTGCCATATCCTCTCCTCCTTGGCCCTTTTCCAGAGAAAAGGACCCAGCCCAGTGTTTTTGAATTTACTCTCTGTTTGGGAAGACTGGCAGAGTGGAAAGACCCCGAGGGGGAGATGAGCCCTGGGTCATCCACAGAGTACAGAACCAGCCCCTGAATCACTGAAGTCCCCTTAGATGTGGCCCTTCACGGTTTGCTCTGGATAGGCAGGCACCATGTTTATCAGGGAGATGCCGTGGGCATATTTGCATGGTTGACTCCAGAATCACTCTGCCCTCTTTCCAGGTACCAAGAAGTCAGTACAAAACCAAAACCAAAACCCAAACTCACGGCCATCGAGTTGATTTCGACTCGCCCAATAGGACAGAGTAGAACTGCCCCTGTGGGTTTACAAGACAGTAACTCTTTCCGGGAGGAGAAAGCCTCGTCTTTCTCCCTCAGCGTGGCTGGGGGTTTTGAATGGCTGGTCTTTCAGTTAGCAGTCCGAGTGTGACCAAGTACAAGAGGACATCAAAGCAGCCTGCACAGACAACACACTGGAGTCTCAGCAGGTGTGTCAGGCCCCTTACTGTTGGGCACTCACCTCCCGGTTGTCTTGATCTGCCTGAGCGAGGATCCCTTTAAAGCAAGGTTCGAGGTAATGGATGTAATCGTTGTACTGCGGTCGCGGTGGGAGAAGGAGCAAAGAACAAATACGATTAGTTAGGCGCTCGGGACCTGGTGGGGAAGCTTAAGCACCTCATGGAGTGGTCAGGGTGAAGTTCACAGAGGCTCTTGTGTCATGTCATCCTGGGGTACCCTTTACCGTTCACAACTTTTCCTAGGAGAGAGAGGAGAGTAGAAAGGCCAGCAGTCACTAAAGACCTGATAGTCACTAAAAACTCTCCCTTAACCGCTGGGCTCCAGGCATTTTCTGAACTGGCTGGCTGAAGTGGTTGGCTCATTTCCCAAAGAACCTGCAGTTTACTGATAGAATTCCTTTGGTCTCTGCCTCCCTGGCCTGGGAAGGTGCTTGCGCACGGGAGATGAGAGTCTTCTACACGTATTCCCCACCCCAGTAGGCCTGGGAATGGGAATCAGACCGTGTATGTTTTTATTTATCACTTTGCTGTGTGTATATATGAAGAAGGCCCCTTTGCAATCAAAAGAGGGTGGTGTGGGGCAGGATGTGAGTTATTGCTTCTTCCCTCTTTCTCTTAAACACCCCCTTCCGCATAGACTCCCATTGCTATCAAGTTGATTCCAACTCTTAGGACAGAGTAGAATTCTTTCTTACAGCTTCTGAGATTATAAATCTCAACAGGGGCTGACAGTCTCATCTTCTCTCTTGCAGAGCAGCTACTGGGTTTGAACCTCCAGCCTTGCAGTGCATCTTCTAAATGGCTTTGGTATCCTTAATGCCCTTTTGGCAGACAGCAGGAAGATGGCGGTGACCAAATGGTAGAACAACATGGGGGCTCTGGAGGAGGAGTGTGCATAGTCTCTCTCCCGTGGAGTGAAGCAACCTATTGTCCATGTCATCCTGTCGCTCCTGCAGATCTCAGGATAGGGATGGAGAGAAGGTCAAGATGGGGAGGTGGGGCCTAGAAGTTGGTGCAGGTGTATCTCTGTGGACACAGAGATAGCAGGCGGCCAAGGGTCTGGACGAGGGGCTGGGGGCTAGAAGTGCAGGAACGTGGTGGCTGCTCTCATGCCGCGGACAGGTTATTTTAAAGGCAGAGATACGAAACTCCCCCTCCAGAGAGGCCTCTGGGTCATGGGGCATGTTGTGGATGGAACGTCTTTGATCAGGTTGCACTTCCAGGACCCTTCTAAGCCGAAAGCTGGATGTCCACGCGACCTCACCGGAGGGCTCGCCAGGCCTAGCCTTCGGCTGTGTTTCGAAATGCTCTCCTGCCTTGTTGGCCTTTTCTGTCTTCATTATTCCTCCACACCATCGCAGCGCTAGGGGTCGCAGGCTGCCCTCAGGAAGAGCTGCCGTAAGAACAGGTCCCAGGTTTGCCAAGTGCCCTCTACAGGCTCCCCTCCTACTCCCCGCACCTTCGCCTCTGGGCCCAGATCTGGCAAGGTGAAAGAAACAGGACGGCTGGAACTGCGGCCAACCAGGAATCCGGGCCTCCTTTATTCTCCATCCGACGGGAGGGCAATCGAGCTGGGGAGGAAAACACTAGGCATTTGCTGGGGGAGAAGGGCACCCTGCTGGGTCAGGTCAGTGACGTGAGCTGGACGGACGCCGTCTGCTGCTCTGGGCTCGACGTCGGCCAGGATTATGGGGCAGCATGGGGCCCAGCTGTACTTCGTTCTGTCGTGCCCAAGCTCGGGAAGAGTCGGAACCGACTGCAGGCACCTTCACAGCAACAGCTCTTGGTTGGTGCTGCTTCCCCGTCCTCGGGCCCCAGACTCCTGTGGGAAAGGGGAAGACCGGACCCAGGGAAGTGGGCGGAGACAGCACCTTATATATCATTTCAGGGGCTTGGACAGACCAGGCACCCTAGGTTCATAGCCCAGCTTGGGAGAAGAGCACCATTCTGTAGTACATCAAATGACCGTGTCCGTGCTGGTAGGCTTGTCATTGTTAGGTGCCATCTGATCAGTGCTGGCTGATAGTGGCCTATGCTTAGCAGAAGGAAACAGTGGCCACCCTCACCACTGTCCCTGTTGCTGTCATGGTTACAGTCCATCCCATCAAAGTCCTTCCTCTGTCGCTGCCCCTCCACTTTACCAAACAGATGTCCTTCTCCAGGTCTCTCCTGACAATGTGTCCAGAGTAGGTCAGACAAAGGCTCGCCCCACCCTTGCCTCTAAGGAGCACGCTGGCTGTCCCTCTAAGATGCACATCGGAGCTGGCAAAGCGTAGGGAAAGTACCCAGGCCTGTCTCTGTTGGGGAGGCAGAAGGCAGTCTCCCCTCAGGGGTGTGAGAGGGGCTGGAGTCAGCCCGCTTACCGCGATGACATTCACGAAGTCGTTCTCGCCCAAGGTGTCCAGGATGGTGGAGGCGGTGTGCTTGGCGATGGCCAGTCTCAGCCCCTTCATGCTGCCGCTCACATCAATGAGGATCACCACGTCCTTGGGCGACGTCGCAGCCTGTATGTACCTGCGGCACACGGACAAATCGGAAGGGAAGGGGCAAGTCGAAAGCGGGGAAATCATTGTCCAATAACCGCCTCTGACCAAGAGTTTCCAGTTCATTCTATTTCAGTTCTGGCCCAAGGGCACCCAAATTCTAGGCCAATGTTTTAGGCTTTATTGTGTCCCATAACTGCTCGGCATACTCTGGAGCCATCTTGGCATGAGAGTTGAGCATGTGCCCCGCCCCCTGTCCCGGAATGGGTCTTCTGGGTGGTAACCCTGGTCCTTTTGGGTTTCAATCAGCTGGGATCCTGGGGTGCTGGCAGTGGGAAAGAGAGAGCTGGGTTTCACAAGAGACAGCAGCAAGGGAGTGGCGGTGCTGACTGAGGGTACACTGGGGGACAATCCAGTGCCCTGGAAGCAGGTTTGAGTTGGGAAAGATAAATATGATTAGTCCTAGATGTCAAGAACAAGGACACACACACACACACACAGAATGATCATGTGGATCATTCTCACTCTTGTGTTGGGTTAAGATTCTGTACATTTGATGTCTGCTGGTGGGGGCCAGCAGCACAGGAGCACGAGGGGCTGGAGACCTTTCCCCTGTGAGTTCTTACCAACCACGGTTCCGGCAGTCGAAGGTAATGACTCCATTCTCATCAGGGGTCCACTTGAAACCTGGGGAGGGACAGGTGGGCTCACTCACTAGCTCCCTGAGGCTAGCCCTTGACTGGGTGTTGGCACCCAGAATGGCCATGATCTCAAGGACAGGTCCAGCAGTGACTGGGGTAGCAGGCTGTAAGAGCACTTGACCACACTCTGGGGAAGCAGGAAGGGAGGGGGCCAGTTCTGCGGAGAAGCCCCCACCATGCCAACGGGGTGCCTTTACATAGAGAATCCCCAGATGTGGGGCCTGGGCCTCCTTTGTGAGACTAAGCTTCGCATCAGCGAGTGCGAGCAGTGCTTCAGACAGCTGTGGCTGTGGAGCCTGTTCTTGAAGCAGGGACAAGGGGGCGAGAGAGCCAGGTGCCCTGTTTTCCAGTGAGCACCGTTTTCTAGCCCGTCTGCCGCTGCTGGCAGGTTAGCTCTCCGTGTTCACCATCCCTTCCGTCCGACGGGCTGGGAGACATGACTGGATCATACAGCTGTACGCTCCTCGAGGGCAGGCATTCCCTGCACCTAAGGTAGTGCTTAATGAGCACCGGTGGCATCATGGTTACGCATCGGGCTGCTAACGGCCACGCCAGCAGTTCAAAACCACCAGCTGCTCCTTCGGAGAAAGACAAGGCTGTCTACTCTGGTAAAGCATTGCAGTCTCAGAAACAGCAGGGGCCATTCCGCCCTGTCCTGTGGGTCGCTATGCGTTGGCATCGACTCGGTGGCAGTGAGCGAGGTGGTGTTTGGAAGGCAGTGTGGGCCGGCAGCTAGCAGAGGAAAGGCTCCGTGTGTAACGTCGACCCCACGGATGGAGAACACGGAAAGGAGCGTGGAAGCTCTTCCTTAACCTGCCGGCTGAGAGCCCGGCTTTTGTCCCAGGCATCCAATCCCATGCTCGGTTGATGCACATAAAGCACAGACGGCGCTGGCAGGGCCTGTCGCCGACTCTCCATTCAAAACGACGTGAACAATTTGGAATGGTGGCTTTAAGAGAAGAAGGTTGAAAATAACAGTTTAGATGGTTACGTGCTGCATTTGAACTAGGGGGCGGGGGGAACTGCAGTATGATGAATGACTCCGAGGGATTTGCTGATCCCTGGCTGTGGGACTCCGGATCAGGTGCACCCAGAGGCATTGCCGGTCTCTCCAAACTAGAAAAGGTTTCAGGGACTCTGCCCTCAAGCGTGGGAGAAAGGTAGGGCTTCCCCTTCCCGTAGAGAAATTCACAGGGCAGGTCTACCTTGTCCTATAGGGTCGCTGTGAGTTGGCATGGACTCGAGGGCAGTGAGTGGCCCTCAAACTCATGATACCAGGGCCCCTGGATGAGGGGTGCAGGCTCCTGGGCATCAAGCCATCAAGACCTCAATACGGGGGAGAGACGGTGCTGAGAGGTGGGGAGCAGGGTGAGGGTCACGGTGACAATCGTGTGCCAGAGCGTGAGGGGCAGGGTCTGCTCCAGACCTGAGCCATGAAAAGCAGCGTCACCTGTAGCCGCTTCCAACAACAACCTGGCTGTGATCAACAACTTGCTCCGTAGAGCAGCAAAGGAAAGGGGAAGCTAAGGCTGAGGTTTCTAGGTCTGAACCAAAGCCTCCTCAGAGCGTGGTGGGTCCTGGCACAGGAAGATGCTCAATTCCTGGTGGAAATAGGAGGAGGCTCCCGAAGGTTTGCGGGAACATCCCATGGTCATTTAATTCCATTTGCCCACGAACTCTTTGAAGCCTCCTCGTGTAGCGGGATCCTCTTGAGGAGCTTTCCAGCGCCAGGCCTGCAGAAGGAGTCCCTCGTGAGCCAAGCTGACTGGGAGCACAGACGGGCAAGCAGACCCCTCATCACAGAGCTCAGCTGCGCCAGCTGCCGGGACAGAGCACCAGGGACGGTGTCCCAGCTATCACACACGGAAACACACGGAGAGAGGTAAAGAGGCAGTCTTAAAGAAAACAAGGGACTTTTAAAAAATGGGGGGCAAAAAATGTTTGGGTTGAGAGAAATAAAAGAAGCCTAAATGGATCGCGAATGGATTGTTTATAGGGAAAGAGAGAATGTATACATTTGAAGAACTTTCTTCAACTCCCGGGCAAGGCTCAAAGCACCTGTGTTATTGGAGACCCAGAAAGGAAAAGAACACACAGGAAAGGCAGAGGTTAAATAGAACAACGAAAAAAAAAATAGAACAACGTTTTCGCATTTCCTACAGCTGATGGAAGCCCAACTCCACCTGTCGCAGGATAAACAGAAACACACCCATCGTAGGGCCACTGCAGGATGTCACAAGCAAAAAACCTTGCCAGCAACCAGCAGGAATGGTCAGAGACACTGCAGTTACGCTGACGGCCAATTTTCTCCATCAGTGGAAGTGAGAGGACAGTGGGGGGATATTTCTCAAGCCTTGAGAGAAAAGAGCCGTTCATTAGGGTAGCAGCCTGTGTTAGTCTGGGTACTTTAGAGAAACAAATCCACAGAAACTCATGAATAAGAGAGAGTTTTATAAGTGCGCATCAAGAAAACATCCCAACCCAGTGCTGCCCAAGCCCACAAGTCTAACATTAACCCATTAACCCAACACCAGTCCACAAAGTCTCCATCTCACAAAACACAAGCAATGATGCCGACTGCAGGAGGAAAGCCGAGTCAGTGAGCATGTAAGCATCTCAGAGCTGGCAGGGGTATCCACACGGCTGTTCCAGCACCCAGGGCTGCATCGGGGTAGCTCCATGCAATTTCTCTTCGGGGATGTCTTGCAGAAAGTGAACCTTGTCAGTTGAAGCAGGGAACTGGCTAAGGCAGCTGTACCCTGGTCCGACCATCACAAAGCAAGAGACCCGAGAACTCTAAAGGTGAGGCTCACCCAGCCATTTCCCTCCGCCCTTCAATTAACCCCACCTGTGTTTATCCGCCAGGTTGTCACAATAAATATTAACTACCTCACAGCCCAGTACAACTGTCCTTCAAAAATGAAGATCAAATAGAAGATTTACAGAAGAGCACAAAGCAACAGCTTACGGCCTAGAGACCTGCTGAACAGAACTCTTGGAGGATTTACTTGAAGAAGAAAGACAGTCTGAGATGCTTAAAGAAACAGCGAATGAATAAAATGTTTGCCGAGGAGCTAAATCTAAACCAGCTCTCCTTGTATCAAATAACATTGTGACAGCGTTCTGTTTGGGTTATTTGTATCAAGCTGCATGTTTTATGTGTATTAGGTTACTGTTGAGTAGCAGTAACAGCCACAATGATCAGAACCTGTTAGACTTTGAAGAGGAAGGAAGTGCTGAGGAAGCAAATACTGAGGAAGAGAGAAGTTTCAAAAATTTTTTTGAAAAGTGACAAAAGTGGTTGCAGATTAAAAAAAAAAAAAGTAACTCACAGGCTTCAGTTATTTGAAAACATGGACCCAAGTGCTGCTTGCTTGGCTAAAATTGAGACAAAGACGCGGGAACTGTGAGATGTTGCTGTGGATGATATGACGGAAAGACAGAAACAGAGCCAAGCAGATAACGTTCACTAGTTTTTCCAGTGAGAATGCCGTCTCCATTCCCAGGGAAAAGCCAGGTGACCCAGACGTTCTCAACGTCGAACTATTACTGCAGGGACAAAGCACCAGCGTCCTCCAACCTGTCTTCGTCATCAAATTGAATGTTTACAGTGTGTGTCTTTTTATGGGCGTATGAACTAAAATATACTGTAAGTTTATGCGCAGTGTTTCCAACCCCCAAAGACAAATAAAGAAAAGAAACGAAAAAGGCATTTTAGAGAAGAGGAGATACAGTGAATAGATACTCAACTTCACAAGCTATCAGGGACATACAAAACCAGACCACAATGCAATGCCATTTTCTACTGAAATAATATTAGCAAACATTAAAAAATAATAACAGCAAGGGTTAGAAGAATGTGACTCAATATTCATCGAAGATCATAATTGCGACAAGCATTTTGGAAAGCAATTTGGCATTTTTGTGTCAAAGTTGAACACTCAGATATCATAAGCCTAGCAATTCCTCCCTGAGCGAAGTTTGTCTCATGTGTCTCAGGAGACATGGCTAAGATGCTCCTAGCAACACTATCAGAAAAAGCCAAACACAGAAAACCAAATTTAAATGGGGAAACATTTAAAATTTAAATGGGGAAACAACCCAAACACAGAGAACCAATAGACTGTGATATATTTACCCTGAAGAATATTATAGGACGATGAAAATGTCAAGGACGACTCAGATGGTGACAGTGTATCTGGAAAAAAACAAGTCCTGAAAGTCTATATCCAAAATTCACCACCTTTGAGTGGACTCTGACTCATGGGGACCCTATAGGACAGGGTAGAACTGCTTCTGTGTGTTCCTGAGACGATAACTCTTTAAAGGAGTAGAGAGCCTCGTCTTTCTCCCAAGGAATGGCTGGTGGTTTCGAACTGCTGACCCTGTGCTTAGTAGCCCAACTTGTAAGCCACTACACCACATTTATATGCAAAATCAAGTTTTAAAAGTAAAAAATAGGAAAGAAAAGAATATATTGTGTAGGCAATTATATAAATGAAACAAAAATAAACATATTAAAAACATCTAAATGGAGTGACAAGGTTGAAATCCAAGGTTCATCGGGTGGGTGCTGGGTGTAGCAGGGAACATGGTCGGATTGGTCAGAGGGGCAGGATAGAGGAGGTACACCTAGGCAGATACGTTATTGGTAATATTCTAGGTCTCCTGTTGATGGGGTGTAAACAGACATTTATTACTTACAAATCAAATAGAATGGGCCCACCGAACCAATGGGAATAGTGTTCCTGAACCAAGGATTATGATCAACCCAATCCCATTGAGTTAGTTAATTGTGCCAGCCTGGCCGATAATCACATGTGGGTCTGGTTGAAAGGCGGAGGGATAAATGGGTGGTGGAGCCTCGCCTTTCTAGTTCTCGGGTCTCTTGTTTTGTGTTGGTTGTATCGGGTGCAGCTGCCTTAGCAGTTCCCTGCTTCAGCTTGCAAGATTGACTTCCTCCAAGACATCCCCAAGGAGAAGCTGCATGGATCTATCCCGATGCAGCCCTGGGTGCTGGAGCAGCCGTGTGGAGACCCTTGCCTGTGCTGAGATGCTTACACGTTCACGGACTCAGCTTTCCTCCTGCAGTCGGCATCATTGCCTCTGTTTTGTGAGGTGGAGGACTTTGTGGACTGGTGTTGGGTTAATGGGTTAATGTTGGACTTGTGGGCTTGGGCAGCATTGGGTTGGGATGTTCTCGTGATGCACCTTTTCTTTACATAAAACTCTCTCTTATACATGAGTCGCTGTGGATTTGTTTCTCCAAAGTACCTAGACTATTACACCCATCTACCCACAGGCCAATATGTACAGGCAGATGTGTACGTGGATATGTGTGCCCCCACGTATCACCCTGAGAAATGGCTCTTCAATAGTTACCGGGTAGTGGGGTAGTGGTCATGAGTTGACCACTAACTGCAACACCAGCAGTTCAAAACCATCGGCCACTCCAAGGGAGAGAGCTGAGGCTCTCTGTTTCCAGCGTCGGAAACTCACGGGGCAGTTCTCTTTTGTCCTCGAGGGCCACTGTGAAACAGAGCTGGCTCGAGGCAGGGAGGCGTTTTGGTTATAGGAACTGAGGCGCTCACACCTGGATGGTGGTGCTGCCCACAGCTTACCGCCTCTGGCAGCCTGACTGTGCTTAGAAACCGCATGCGTTTTACCCTCAAGAGAAAAGAGGAGGCTGTCTGCTCCCGTAAAGGCTTAGTGTCAGAATCTCTAAGGAGCACTCCTGCTCTGCCTGATGGGGTCGTAGGTGTTGGAAGTGGCTCTGCGGCCATGGGTTTGGCTGCTTTGAGTACCGTTGATGGGGGCGCAAGGCCACTGTGTCTTAGGTCGGCCCCGGCCATGGTGGCCTTCGGCATGTCCTGGATTACCGACCATCAAGCACTTCCAGGCTTCCAGGGAGTGGGGTCCCTTTCTCCAATAAGGCTGCACATTTCTTTAGAGGACGAGATGTTTTATCCTTGTTTGTACGATCGTATCTCCCACAAGGTTTACAACAGAACGGGAGCTCAATGTCTGATCACCATGGGGTTCCTGGCTTCTCTCGTTCTTTCAACAATGATGTCACTGGGGAGTGTCCAGGAGTGAGCTGGAGGCACCCGTTGACAGCGAATGGTGACACAGAGAGCCCCAGCTGGCTGTCTTCAATGCCCTCTTGCCTTGTTCCCAGAGAGGAAGCTCAGGACCTTGGCAATCCCACCCAGTGTCCTTACCTGGATAGATCCTGAAGAATCCATTTGAGCTGCCGAAATATTGCCATGTCAGTGTCGGGTCTCTCTGGAAGTTCTCCACAAAAACAGGGTTCAAGGCTTCAGACATGTAGATGCCATTTAAAATGTGGGGGTCTGCAGGGTGAGATTAGGGGAAGCTTTTCGTGGGAAATAGCAGCACCCTAAGCATGTACACGGAGCTCCTCACTGCAGCGATGCCTTTATTTTATGTGCTTATTTAATCATCCTACTGGGGGCTCTTACAGCTCTTATCACGATTCATCCATCCACCCATTGTGTC